AGAAAATTTGGAACCCAAAATTTTAAAAACAAAAGATAAAAAAAAAATTTGTTTTCACATGCAACTGGGAAATAAGATATACAGGAAATGAGGTGTAGAAATCTATCCTGCCCTATAGGAAAATTGAAGGGGAAGGGGATAAGAGAAGGGGGAGGAGAGATAGAAGGGAGGGCAGATTAGGGGTATTCAGAATGCATGCCATTTTGGGGTGGGGGAGGGACAAGATAGGGAGAAAATTTGGAACTCAAAATCTTGTGGAAGTGAATGTTGAAAACTAAAAATTAATTAATCAAAAGCAGGAATTAATTAATTAATTAATTTTTTTGAAAAAGAACCCAAATGGTTAGGAGCTGGGCAGTGAGTGGCTAGTATGTACAATCTTATTTTCAAGAAATTTGACTATGAGGAGAAGAGAAATAGAGGATGGTATAGAAAAAACAAGTTAAGGCTTTTTTTTTTTTTAATTTAGTATAGGTAGCCTTGTTTATAGGTAAAAGGGAAGGAGCCAGCACAGAGGATCAGGTTGAAGATATATGAAAAGAAAATGATTGACAGAACAAGACTTACTAGAGGAAGCATTTGGGAAAGAGATCAAAAACACAGGGAGTAGAATTAGCCTTAGCAAAGAGTGACTAAAGAGACCTCTTCCTCTGAAAAAGGAGAAAATGAGTGGTGATACTTAGGAGTAAAAGAGAGGAATTAGGGCTCATAGTCATGTGCTCTCAAACTTCTCATTGAAGATTAGTTGTGAGGCAGCCTGATAGAGTACTGGATGTAGAATCAGAAAGTCCCAGGTTCAAATCCAACTTGAGATACTAATTAGCTACATTATCCCTAGCAAGTCAGTCAGTCTCTATGGGTTTCAGTTTCTTCATCTGTATAAAGAAAAGGTTGGACTAGAGATGACCTCTAAGGTCCCTTCCAGCTTTAAATCTATGGTCTTAAAGCACTATGCAATTGTCAGTTATTATTAGTGTTATTATTAATCTGTAAGTATGAGAGATAGAGTTGTGGTCATGGTCTTGAGAGAGGAAAAGGTTCAGAATAGTTACTATAGGTAATGAAATAGGGAGCCAATAAAAGTAAAATAGAATGACTAGCAACAATGAGGGCCCAGCTGAAGTTACACATCATAAATTTTTATAGGGAGTAAAATCAACTCAATATTGTTTTCTTTCTCGGAAGCTCAAGTCAGGAGCAAAGAAATGGAATGGTGGTGGGTTAGCCAGGGTTAAGGATTAGCAGATCAGCACCAATGAAAGATTTAGAAGATGAAAGATGAAAGATTTTAAAAGTTGTAGCTTAGAAATCATTAATATGACCGACCATGGGATCAATCTTAGAATTTCAGTTGTAAAGGACTTGTTTAGATCATCTAGTTTAATCTGTTCTTGAAAGAGGAATTCCTGATAAAACGCTCCCCAGCAAATGGTCATCTAGCCACTTTTTAAAGACAATTAAGGATGGAGAACTCACTACAGTACTGGGACAGCCCATAACACTTTGGGCAACTCTAATTATATCCAGAGCACTATGTCACTTGCAAGACGAGATAGAAAATTTAGGACTACTCCAAACCCCTTCAAATAAAATGACTCTAAACAAATTCTAGAGCAGCAGAACCCACAAAATGACAGAGTAAAACAAATTTCCAGCCCAAGACAACCTGGAAGGTCAATAGGAAAGGTTTATTGCACCAGTCTAACAGAGGAGCTCAGTCCAGTGCAAAATGTGCCAGCACAGATTTGGCCCCAGCAAATCCAGAGCAAGCCCCAGGGGACTGAATCACTGGAAGCTGTGGTGGTTTCCAGACTTCTCAACCCACAAACACCAAAGACAACTTAGAAAGTCAGTAAGAAAGGTCTGTTGGACCTGGGTGAGTGGGGCCCCAGCCCTGGTGCAGCCTCAGGGAGATGGTGGCAGCTGCTTATGGAGCTCTCAGCCCACAAACAGCGGGGGGGATTGAGTGGCTGATCAGAGGGGGATTGCACGGATCTCTTTGCTGGCATTGAGGCAAGATTCTCTTGCTTTGCCCGTGCTTAGATCTGAGTCTCAGTCCTGGGTGGTGGTCCTGGGGCAAGGAGGAGCACTGGTGTGGTGGAGCTTGTGGCAGCAGTGGAGAGGGAATCCTCCTCACAGTTCCAAAGCAGAAAAGAGTACTTGTGGTCACTCGTAGACCAGAGCACAGGCCAGGAAAGGAATGAACACCTCTCCTTTGATCATACTACCTTGGAAGAACTGAAAATTTACAGGTCCCTAGAAATATCTCTGAAAACAGCTGCACAAAACCCCTGAAGTTTGGGACAGTACACCCTCCACACTGGAAGCAAAGCCCTACCTTAATAAAGAGTTTAAAAGTCAAGTAATTGGCTGGGAACATGAGCAAACAGTGGAAAAAACTCAGACTATAGAATCTTACTTTGGTGACAAAGAAGATCAGAACATACAACTAGAAGAAGACAACAAAGTCAAAACATCCACATCCAAAGCCTCCAAGAAAAATATGAATTGGTCTCAGGCCGTGGAAAAGCTCAAAAAGGATTTTGAAAACCAAGTTAGAGAAGTACAGGAAAAATTGGGAAGAGAAATGAGAGTGATGCAAGAAAACCATGAAAAACAAGTCAACAGCTTGCTAAAGGAGACCCAAAAAAATACTGAAGAAAATAACATCTTAAAAAATAGTCTAGACCAAATGGCAAAAGAGGTCCAAAAAGCCAGTGAGGAGAAGAATGCCTTAAAAAGCAGAATTGGCCAAATGGAAAAGGAGGTCCAAAAGCTCACTGAAGAAAATAAGTCCTTAAAAATTAGAATGAAGCAAATGGAAGTTAATAACTCTGTGAGAAATCAAGAAATTATCAAACAAAACCAGAAGAATGAAAAGAATAGAAGACAATGTGAAATATTGGAAAAACAACTGACTTGGAAAATAGATCCAGAAGAGATAATTTTAAAATTATTGGACTGTATGAAAGCTGAGTCTAGACATCATCTTTCAAGAAATTATCAAGGAAAGCTGCCCTGATATGTTAGAACCAGAAGGTATAATAGAAATGGAAAGAATCCACCCATCACCTCCTGAAAGATCCCAAAAGGAAAACTCCTAGGATTATTGTAGCCAAATTCCAGAGTTCCTAGGTCAAGGAGAAAATATTGCAAGCAGCCAAAAACAAACAATTCAAGTATTGTGGAAACACAATCAGGATAACACAAGATTTAACAGCTTCTACATTAAGGGATCAGAGGTCTTGGAATATGATATTCTAGAGGTCAAAGGAGCTAGGATTAAAACCAAGACTCACCTGCCCAGCAAAACTGAGCATAATCCTTCAGGGGCCAATGAAATAGAGGACTTTCAAGCATTCTTGATGAAAAGACCAGAGCTGAATAGAAAAATTAACTTTCAAATACAAGACTCAAAAGCAGGAAAAGATAAACAGGAAAGAGAAATCATAAGGGACTTATTAAAGTTGAACTGTTTATATTCCTACATGGAAAGATGATATGTGTAACTCATGAGACCTTTGTCAATATTAGGGTAGTTGGAGGGAATAATAATATAGACAGAGGGCACAGGTATGAAGGGATGATATCTAAAAAATAAAACTAAGGGATGAGAGCGGATTGTACTGGGAGAAGGAGAAAGGGAGAGGTAGAATGGGGTAAATTATCTTACATGAAAGAGGCAAGAAAAAGTTTTTACAGTGGAGGGGAAGATGGAGGAGGTGAGAGGGAATGAGTGAATCTTACTCTCATTGAATTTGGCTTAAAGACAGAATAACATACACACTCAATTGGGTATGGAAATCTATCTTACCCTACAGGAAGATAGGGGGAAGGGGATAAGAGAGGTGGGGATGATAGAAGAGAGGGCAGATTGAGGGAGGGGATAATCAGAAGCAAACACTTTTGAGTAAGGACAGGGTCAAAGAAGAGAATAGAATAAACAGAGGGTGGGATAGGATGGAGGGTAATATAATTAGTCTTTCACAACATGATTATTAGGGAAGTGTTTTGCATGACTACACATATGTATAACCTATATCGAGTTGCTTGCCTTCTCAATGAGGGTGGGTGGGGAGGGAGGAAGGGAGAGAATTTGGAACTCAAACTTTTAAAAATGAATGTTAAAAATTGTTTTTACATGCAACTGGAAAATAAGATATACAGGCAGTGGGGTATAGAAATCTATCTTGCCCTATAGGAAAATAGAAGTGGAAGGGGATAAGAGAAGGGGGCAGGGAGTGATAGAAGGGAGGGCAGATTGGGGGAAGGAGTGATCAGAATGCACTGGTCTTGGGGTGGGGGGAGAGGAGAGATGAGGAGAAAATGTGGAACTCAAAATATTGTGGAAGTAAATGTTGAAAACTAAAAATAAATAAATTAATTAATTAAAATAAATGAATAAAAATTGAAAAAAAACTCAAAAAAAAATTTAGAACTAAAATCTGTTGCTCTTTAACTTCTACCCTCTGCTCCTATTTTTGCCTTCTGGGAACAAATTAAAATAAATGTAATCTGTGTTCCACAGAACTAAGTATGGAAACAAGTAAAATCAAATTCAGGAAGAAAGCTTGGGAGGATAAGGAGGTAGGAGTTACAGGACTAGAAGTCACAATGAGGATGAAAATTAGGGTTAAGTATGAATGAGGGAGTGAATGAGGTAATATAATAGGAAGCTATGGTGCTGGGAGTTGAATTCCAAGGTTCTGAAGGTTGAGTTGGTACAATTTCATGAGATGGTGAGGTCCAAAGTATTTTAGAACCATTTTTAAGCTGAAAAGGAAATTTGGTTAAGTAAAAATTAGAGGTATAAAGTAACTTCTGGCAAAAAACTAATGTCATTTACTTGAAAAAAAAATTGATCACTTATTCTCCTCCAGCTGAAGAGTTGCTTTAGCTTTCTTTATTTTACTGGTTTAAAGCTAGTATATACCTAAATCTTAGTGAATCTTTTCATTTTCTCTCTGAATATGTTTCTTTTCAATATTCTCTGACCAAAGGCCAACTGTGCAGGAGGATGGGGGTGATGTGATCTACAAAGGGTTTGAAGATGGCATTGTGCAGCTGAAACTGCAGGGTTCCTGTACCAGCTGCCCTAGCTCTATCATCACTCTGAAAAATGGAATCCAAAACATGCTACAGTTCTATATTCCAGAAGTGGAAGGTGTGGAGCAGGTAGGCCGGGACGATCTTGCCACTTGGATGTATTACCATTTCATTAGGAAGCATTTGTTAAGAGCTTGCCTCATAGCAGGCAGCTTGCATAGGTGCAGGACATAAAGACAGAGATCAAAGTCCCTATCCTCAGAGGGTTTACATGTCATTTGAGGAGACAACATGAACACACATATATGGTATGCATATATAAACACCTATGTATATTTATGTGTGTATGCATGTGTGTATTTTCATAGAATACATGCAAAATAAATACAGGTAAATATAGAGGGAGCTCTAGCAGCTGGGGGATCAAGAAAGCTTTACATAAAAGGTAATACTTCCACTGAGTCTTGTAGGAAATAAGGTATTCTAAAAGGCAGAGAAAAGGAAGGAGAGCATGGAGGACATCAAATGAAAAGACACTGAGATGGGAGGTTAAATGTCATTTATGAAGAACAATTTAAAGGCCATTGTGGCTAATCCTTAAATTGTGGGAAAGGGTAAAATGAGACTGGAAAGATAGGTAGGTCAGGGGAGAATTATGTAGGAGCTTTAAATAATAAATAGGAGTTTATATTTCTTCCTGAAGGTAATAGGAAAGTAATAACAAGGTAATAACACTGGAGTGTATGGAATAGTGGAGTGACAGAAACAGACTTAAGGAAAATCTCTTTGGGAACTGTGTGGAAGATAAATTGGAATGGGGAGACTTAATTAGAGAAACCAAGTAGGAGGCTGTTATAGTAGTTCAGGGGAAAGGTGATGATAACTTCAGCTTGGGTGGTGGCTATGTAAAGAGTGAGAAGTGTTATCTGTAAAAAGAAAAAGGCTAATGAGCTAAATTTTAGATTAGTAGCAAACCCCTATTGTATTGTAATGTATATTTTAGGAAAAAAAATAACTTGATGATGGTTCATTTGAATATCTTTAATCTTCCCAGTTATTAATTCTGTGGTCTATTTTTAGTTCAACATTTTAAAGCACATGATTTAAAAGACAGCCTGTTCTTTTTAAAGCTGAAAGAAGGAAGGTCATCCATCAATCCTGTGGTCATAACACACTAGACTAGAGAGGAAAATTGAGTTGCTTCTTTGGCAATTATTAGGAATAAAATACCTAGCCATTTACTCGGGATCTTGGATAAATTATTTTTCTGGAATAGATGGTCTCCTGAGTTTTAAAAGTAGCCTGAGGGGGCAATTAGGTGGCCCAGTGGATAGAGCTCCAGCCTTGGAGTCAGGAGGATCTGCGTTCAAATCTAGCCTCAGATACTTGACACTTACTGGCTGTATGACCCTGGGCAAGTCATTTAACCCCAATTGCCTCACCAAAAAGCAAAAAAAAAAAAAGGTAGCTTGAGGAATTCCAGCCTGGATCAATGTACATGGTCCAAAATTCTTGAGCATGTCCAAAAGGAAGGTTTAGGGGGAAAACGAGAAAGTTGATCAGTTACAAATGGTTTGATTTTTCTAGTTATAAATGTCATTGGAAAAATCAATCCACTGGATACAGATGGCTCTGGAGGAGAAAGTGAGGCTGATGATTTTGCACAGCCCTCCCTTACTCAAATCAAAGTCACTTGCAATTCATGACATCATCTCCCTGATGTCCTGGTTCTCTTCAAGAAGGAAAGACAAACACAACCTGTGAGTCATCTGAGCTGCCTGAATGGGGACCCAGCTGGCCAGTTCCAGTTGGACAACTCAAGCTTGTCCTCTCCTCCCCTCCCCTCCCCTTTCCTGAGGGTGTTTCTGCCCAAAGGAAGGTAAATTTTGATGGCCAAAAGTTACCTGTTTAACTTTGAGTTTACTGGCTAGATTTCTTTGTCAAAGACCAAGCCTGAAACCCAATTCAGTCTGGATCTCATGGATTAGACAATAGGTCCCTGTTCCACTTAATGGTTATTTTTAGGGCCCTCCAGTTTCTGAATAAATGTAAATAGTAACTGTTTTTCTTTTGGCTAGCAACCCTGAGGGTCTTCCCCTCCCAGTTTGATTTTTATTATCATTATTATTGTTATTGTTGTTGTTGTTGTTATTATTATTATTATTATTGTTGTTAAAGGGGCCATCCCTTGACTCAGTTCTTAAAGAGGCCTATTCACTGAATGGGCCTTGCCTTACTCAAAGTGAGAATCTGAAAAGACCTTAGCTTAAAGGGTCAAGGTCTCCCACTGCATCCTGGGCCATCTTTAGTCTCCCTGAGCAATATCTGGCCACTGCATGCAGGTGGCTCTGGAGGAGAAAGTGAGGCTGGTGACTTTGCACAGCCCTCTCTCACTCAAATCAAAGTCAATTGCAAGTCATGTCATCACCTCCCTGAGGTCATAGTCCTCTTCAAGAACAAAGGACAAACCACACACAAATGTCTGGTCATCATTTTATATAGAGTATAAATAGCCACTTGATGAATTAACAAGGAAATATTTGTATTCACTGACCTGGGTGGGGTTGTTACATAGTATTTCAAGTTAGAAACTTGAATTGGCACTTTAATTGCAATAGACTTAGTGAAAAGGAGGAAGTTCCTTGTTTATGTGACCTCTTTTCCTTTCCAAAGAAAATAGTTTACTGAACTATTCATCAACTTGTGCCACGTCTAAGACCTTTCCCTCTTAGGGAAGGCAGTATGGTGTAATGGAAAGAGCCCTGGATTTGGAATAGTTAGACCTGGACTTGGGTCTCAGCTCTGCCACTTGCTAGCTCTGGATAAGTCACCTTTTTGGGGCAACAATTTACTTAGCTATGAGATGGAGTCAGTAAAAAGCTACCCAAGTCTCAGGGTTGTTGGGAACAAAGTTCTTTGTAACTGTCTCTGGGCTGCTTTTCCCCCCAGTCAGAATTCCTAATTATTTTCCTTAACTTTCTTGGAAACAGTTTTTGCCATTTTCTTATGTTTAAAATGAAATTTTTTCTTTGGAAGAAAAAGCAACAATTATGTATATTGCTGGTACTTATGGTTTGGGAATTCAGGATTTGTTTGGATTTTTGGTTTTGGTTTCTTAAATTCATGATAGGACAGAGAAGTAGCAAAGTAGATAGGGAGCTGACCTAGCATCTGGGAAGATCTGGGTTCCAGGTCAGCCTCTGATATACTGGCTTTGTGACCCTTGGGGAAGTCATTTTGTTGCAATCTAGGGGTGATGGGAACCCTGAAATTCAAGGGTAAAAGATTCGAGTCTGCTTTGAAAGAATTTGACTCAAGCCTTCTTTCTCAGAGACAAGGTTTATTAAAACATCAGTTGGGGTGTGCAAGATTCCTAATGAGTCTTTGCTATAGGCCAGATTTTAAGAATCTGAGAGATTTAATGGGGGCAAGATGGACATTTATATACAGTGGTCAAGAAGTGGGTCTAGATGAAATCAAGGAGTGGTGGTCTAGGGTGGGACCAGGTGCAATCAATGAAGGCTGAACTAGGTTAGAGGTAACAGAGAACTGAAGATCAGAGCCACAGTGAAAGGACAGTTGAAAGAATTATTCGGCCGTGCCTCAGACACTAGGGAGCTGAGTTCCAGGGCTGGGTTCCTGGAATTCATGGGAAAGTTCATAGGGGGAAGGGTCCAGAGCCCATACCCCTTCAACTTCACCTCTCTGTGTCTTTAGATAACAATGTAAGATTTTTTAAGTTGCGAATAAGGTCTCTCCATGAACTGGTTAGAAGGAGTTTCCTTCCCTGGGAATTGCTTGGACCAGTGAAATTACAGGTCTAGGCCCTTTCACTGTCCCCTCTTCAGGAGGGAGCAATGAGATTTGGGTTTTTACAATAAATATATCTTAGTGATACCTTTTGTCTTTACCCCATATTTACAACCTCCTCCTCCATCCCCAGATTAACCTTCTCTTATGACAAAAAAAAAACAGTTAAGAAAATATCCAATACAGCCACCACAGCAAAATTTCCATAGTGTTTTGGCTTGCAATCATGTGTTTAAAATGCTTTTTAAAATAAATGGTAAATGGGGCAGCTAGGTGGCACAGAGCTCTGGCCTTGGAATCAAGAGGACCTGAGTTCAAATCCTGCCTCAGACACATAATACTAGTTTACTAGCTGTGTGACTCTGGGCAAGTCACTTAACCCCAATTGCTTCGCAAAAAAAAAAAAATTTAATTAAAAAAAATGGTAAATATTACAGCTACTACTACCACCATCACCACCATTACCACCATCACCTCCTCCACCACCACCACCAATAACATAGGGGCACTTTCAGGTTTATCCCTACTTTATAGTTGAGAGAGCTGAGACAGTAAGAAGTAAAGGGGCCTGCCTGGGGTCAGTAGGAATAAAAGCCCCATAACATTTTTCTGGCCAATGGAATCATGTCATCTTATGCCTATGTGACTGATACCAGAGAGACCTTTTCTGAACCAGGTAGGTTGACTGAACTTCTGATTTGGTATTTAAATATAAATATTTGATTTAACTTCATAGATAACAGTATATAACATGTTAATTTTGAACCTGAAATCAGATATATATCAAAAGCTACTTAAATATTTTACTGGAATTTTCTTGCATTTATGCATTGCTGGAGATTATATTCTCTCAGAAAAGGTTATTTGGAAAGCCATAACCCGGAAAGTAGTTTCTCCTGAATGAATATATAATATTCAAAACAGCATAATACCAATTTGAAACTTTTTATCTGAAATCTTTAATTCATTTTATTTTGTCTTTAGGTTGTAGATGATGAACTAGAAGAAAAAGATGCAAACTCACCCTGAAACCCTGTAATTTCCCTGAGGTGAATAGCATGGACTTCTGAAGAAATTTATTGAGGATTAATAAAAGATATCATTTTCTTCAAAGAACTATAATTAAATGTGGCAATTATTTTTCTTTGTATTATTTGCTAAGTAATTTATTTCAGTCTGGTCAATAATCTATAAATGTGACTTGTTTCCAAATAGATATTTTCTTTTTTTTTATTTCAGTACAATTCTTCTTTGGTGGAAAGTATGGAGAGGCTTAAAATTATTTTTCCTCATCTATTTTGTTTATCTCTAAGTACAAAAAATGAACTAAGAGAAAATTATTTTCACATCTTGTGAATAAAATAAGAGCAAACTCTTTGCCCAAAAAACCTCTCTTTACACATATTCCTAGGGTTGTATTCTATTTTGAAACAGTGCTGAGAGAAGTATTTATAATCAGATAAAGGTTCTTGAAAATGAAAGAGGAATTAAATTAAAGAAGCCAACTGCTTTCTTCAGGCCACAGAGGGAAGAGTTTGTCTAAATTCATACCTCCTATTTCTAACTGCCACTCTGGTTACTTGTCTCCCTCCAACCTACCTTTTGTTGAGAGTTTATGGCATAGGACACTCCCATTCTCACCTCGCTCACTTGTAGTGACCTTCGAACTTGGAAGGAGGGGTCTAGTAGAGTACTCCAAGGATCTAGTCTCAGCTGTCTTCTGTTAAACCTTTTTATCAGTGATTTGGATGCTATTTTATGTTTATCACATCTGGTTGTGTTTGTCATTCGTTTTTAAAGAGACCATGACATGAGGGAGATGATGACAAGACTTGCAATTAACTTTGTTTTGAGTGAGGGTGGGCTGTACAAGGTCACCAGCCTCACTTTCTCCTCCAGAGCCATCTGGGTCCAGTGGCCAGATATTCATCAGGAGGACTGGAGATAGCTCAGGATGCAGTGGGAGACCCTGGCCCTTTTAAGTTAAGGTCTTTTCAGATTTTCACTTTGATTGAGGTAACACTCTTAGGCCTTTTTAAGAAGTAAGTCAAGGGATGACTCCTTTAATTAAAAAAAAAATCACACTGGGAGGGGAGACCCTCAGGGTTGCTGGCCAAAAGAGAAACAGTTACTATTTGCATTCACCCTGAGCCAAGAGGGCCCACAAAATAACCATCTAATGGTGCTTGGGCAGGGATCTATTTTTGTCCAATATGTGAGCTCCAGAGTGAATTGGTTTCTGGCTTGGTCTTTGAGAAAAATCTAACCAGTAAATCCCAAGTTAGGTAGGCAGCTTTTGACCATCAAAATTTACCTTCCTTTGGACAGAACCCCCTTAGGTAAGAGGAGAGAGAGGAGAGGAAGGAAAGAACTGAGTTACCCAACTGGAACTGGCCAACTGGGTCCCCATTCAGGCAGCTTGGACTACTCACAGTTTGTGTTTGTCCTTCGTTTTCAAAGAGGACCATGACATCAGGGAGTTGATGACATGACTTGCAGCACATCAACGTCAAGCTAGCATAATGCTAGCTCACATACATATTGGATGAGAGTCAAGCTATAACAGAATGTTGGGCTGAATTTCATAACGAAAAATGTGAAGTTGGAGGATGTTGATGTGCTAGCGAGGTTAACCAAGATAGCAGAGCTGGAATTTGAACCCAGGTCCCCCGATTCTAAATCTAGCACTCATTCTACTGTACTTCTGTACTTACTGTACTGCAAGTTTTGAGAACTTCCTTCTCAAAAATTAAAAAGAATCAGCATCACTAGAAGAGGATGGTGAAAGGGTGGCTGGACAATGTTTTTCATGTATAAGACCTAGGGCCTCAGCCTCAAGACCAGGCCACAGGTTCTCTACCCCTGACTGCAAGCTCAAAATGAATAAGCAGCCAAAGAAGCTTAGGGTGTTTAGAAGCATCATGTCCAGAAAGAGGGAGGGAGGTAACAGTCCCACTGTGTCCTGTCCTGGTCCAACCCCATCTAGAGAACTGTGTTCATTACGCTTTAGGTTAGGCATAGACAAACTGAAGGGTGATTGACTCTCAGATAGTGAGAAGACCAGAGACTTTGCAACACACGAACCAGTGGAAGGAATTTGTTTTCAAGTATAGGTTAGACTCTAAAGGCCCCTTTAAGTCTGAGATTCTATACCTGCTACTTTTTCCCCTAACATGAACCAATTTGTGCCCAAGTCCAAGCCTGAATCTTTGAAGGAAGTGAAAAATGTAAAATCTCTCTTTGAATTACTTAAAAACTATCTTCTGCAAATCTTTCAAAACAATACACAAAAAAACCTTGCCTAAACACCTCTCTCCCAGTAAACATCAAGGAACTGTTGAAGGAAAGAAGTTGGGTTTTGTTTTGTTTTTTTGGTGAGGCAATCAGGGTTAAGTGACTTGCCCAAGGTCACACAGCTAGTACGTGTCAAGTGTTTGGTCTGAGGCCGGATTTGAACTCAGGTCCTCCTGACTTAAAGGCTGCTGCTCTACCCACCTAGCTGCCCCTTAAAGGAAGGAAGTTTGGGAGATCCATACTAAGTTAACTGTACCATTAATTCCTCCATCATTTCAGGTAAGTAACTGTCTAGAAAGACCCATGATTTCACTGATTGAGAAGCTGCCAGGAAGGAAACTCCCATCTACCAATGGCAACTTAGAAAATTTCCCGAGGCATTGAGAGTTTAAGCCATTAGGATGAAAGCTTTGCCCAATCATACGGCCAATACATGGCATGATCCTGGGCTTGAACAGGATCCTCCTGCCTGCCTACAAGGTCAGCTTTCTGTTCCCCATGCTGTTTTTCAGAATTTGAATGAATCTCAAAAATTGATGAATGTCGCTCAGGTTGTTGACCTAGATCATCAAATTAAATGGTTTTTTCTGAATGCTCATCCTTCTAGACCTCTATAGCATTTAACAACCCTTGGCCCTCATCTCCCCCTAGACAGCCTCTCTTCTCTTGTTTTACTGCCTTCTCCTTGGTTTCCTTTATCTTTGTCTTTATCTTACTGCTGCTTGATCTCCCTTGCTAGCTCCTCATTTGTCTCATACCCTTAACTGTGGCTGTACTCTAAGACCTTGTTTTGGGTCCTTTTCTGTCTCTACCTCCTGTCACTTGGTGGCATCATCAGTTCCCATTGGTTCAATTATCATCCTAATTCGGATGACTCCCAAAAGTCTGGGGTGATTGTCCAATGCCATCAGTCTGAGCCCCAGCTAATGTACTTCCTCTTGAGATTATGGATTCAGAACCAATTTAGTCAACCAGCCTTAAGCAGCTTTTAAAAGGGGGGTATTTACCAAGGTGGTACAACAAAAGCGGTATGAAATATTTCTCTAAACAAATATGATACACTCTCCCACAAATACAGAGTCCAGGGGAAGGTGGTCTCAGGCTTTGGAGAGTACACGTGGCAAAGGGAATAGTTCACAGCTGGCTGTGAAAGTCCCTTTCTGCCTTTCATGGGGTGCTCACAGAGCTCTCATTAGGCAGCTGTAGTTTCTTCAGTAAGTCCTTGTAGAGCCTTGGGTCCAGACCATCCTTGACTTCTGATCCATATATTACCATCAGCTTATCTGGGAATACTGTGAGAATAATAGTGAGAGGATAGGAGCCCAATGTCTTCTGGATCCTTTGCAGCTCTTAAGTTACTCCTCCAGGCAAAGAGTGAGGGGGTAGGAGACTTGGTCAAGGCCAAAACTGAGGCCTTTCTTTTCTCCCTAAACAGTTACTCCTTAAGGAAGTACTAGAAAGTCAGGCTTGCTCTGACCTTTAGAATCAGTCTAGTTCTCCAGCTGAATAATTTAGAGACAACTCCTTGGAAGTCCATATTTCTTCAGCTATTCAAACACTCTCCTTTTACAACTTCGCTACAGTTCAAAGGGCTTTTTGGCATTTGGTCTAAAACATATGATAGATTAAGTGAACATCTTATCACTTATCACAAGGTGAGATGACTTGATTAACTATGAATCAATTCCACCCTTACATTTGCATATATCTGTATGTATGTATGTGTGTATATATACATGTTGTCTCCCTGTCAGGATCCCCCATCCCCCATGTCAAGACCACCCATCTCTTTTTACTATTAGGAGACACCCTGTTTAGCAAGCAAGCTGTGCCCTGAGTTTGGCAGAACAACAATCCTTTGCATTCACCCTTTGGGGGAACTCAGCCACAGCAAAGTCCAGAATTGTTTTGCACCAGCCCCACATGGTCCCTGAGCTTGGGCAAACACCTATTGGAACCACGTTCCTGTCATATAGCCCTGCTATGGATCAGACTTGTCTCACTGTTGTGCTATCCCTCGTTGTCATGGCTACAACTCACTGCATAGCCACTACTATATATATCTCTATATCTATATCTATATCTATATCTATATCTATATATATATATATATATGTATATCTCAAGGTTTGGCCTCACTAAAATGGGTCTCCTCCTGGAGAAGGCTCCAGTACATGTGTAGTTTCCCTCCTGCATTGGAATAAAGAAAGCTTCTTGCTTATGACTACCGTTAGCTCTTTGGTATTTTATTTCTGAGAGTTAACTATGGTTGTGATGACCTGTGTGAGCTCTTTAGTATTTTCAGAGTTAACAGTGGTTGCATAACCTCTGTGACTCTTTGGTCATTTATTTTTAGAGTTGACATCCCTTCTTAGAATGTATGTTCCCTGAGGGCAGGGACCATTTTGCATTTTGTTTTTGTCTCCCTAGCACTTCAATACTGTGCCTGGCACATAATAGGTGTTTAATAAATGTTTTATTTATTTGATTAATTGGTTGATAAAATGATCCATCTACACCACCAGAACCAAAACCAATAATGTTGGCTCCTCAGGCAAGCAGCAAGAAATGTATTCTTATATCAACTTTTTACAGCAGATTCATTTGAAGTTGTAGGGGAGACCCTGGGATGTAAGACACCATGGAAAAAGAGATCCTGGGGACACTGCCCTAGAAGTACCAGGTGAGTAGAGACTAAGGGACACTATGAGGTTGTTGGTTGGGAGGGACTGAAGGTAGAAAGCTTCTGGTGGCCTTTCTCTTTTAATCAATTCTTACTAGACAGCTAAGTGCTAAGTTCATTTGTTTCTAACTGATGAAGAGGAGGAAGGAAGGAAATAAGCATT